AGTGATAGGCGGCACGCTTCCATGACCTATTACGACCCTAGATTTTTTGACTTAATACCTAGTTCTTTTGTAAAAAAGAAAGTGCACCAAGTATTTTTTTCGGTTCCGAAAAATTTCAAAAACAAAAAATCACTTTGTAACTCACATTTTTTTCGTTTGGAATTACCAGATAATTTTGTTATGTAGATTTCATGCATCCTCTATTAAAAAACAAAACTGCTTACAAAACAATTTAAAATATTTTTTGATCAAATATCTTAAAAAGTAACCAAGATCAGTTCTATAAAATCATTTTAGGTCTAAATAAACCCCTAAAAAAGTTATGTACACTGGAATGATTTTTAACTTGATTAACCTCGCAGAGAAACTTTTTTTTCTGAGATAAAATATTGGTTATGCGAATACTTATTACCTAAATAAAACACTTGAGTTTTTTAATATCACCTTCACTTTAAGGAGCTACGTTTTTGTTGTTAGCTTAAGTTGAAAAATGGAGATTTTTTTGGCAAACATAATAGGTGTTATGTCCTGCAACTTTTAAGATCAAAGTTCAGTGTTTTATTAATGTTAAGTTTAACACACATTTGTAGTTGCTAAACTGTTACTTAACTTAATTTATAAAACAAATTCTCAGTTGCTAAATTTAGCTTGGAATTAAATCTAAACACGAACAGATTTATTATTCAAATCCCGTACTGACATGTCACAGACGGCTTCATTAGAAATTTAAAAGTTTGCCTGTGGTAACTCGTAGATTCCGTTTTGAAAAATTTAGAATACCGCCACCAAATACGTCCAGCTGATATTTAAGAGAAGAAGTAACGCAGAAAATATTTATTGACCAATCAACCTAAATAAAGATATTGTAAAATTTAATATGGATTACAGGATTACACTCAAAGGGTCGGTATTTAGTAAATTTTTTAATCAGCAGTATAAAATCTCTCGCTTGAAAGGAATAATAAAAATGAAATAAAGATGATTTCGCAGCCACTTTCCTTTTCAGAATTTTTTATTGAAATTAAAAACAAAATTACATTTTACGTATTTATTAAAAAATAAATTTAACTTTAGGGTCTACATTTTTTACGACTTTTTAAGGGATCGGTATCTTCAGGCTTGTAATTTTTTTCATTACTATTCCCTGGAGGGAGCCAGTACATAAACTTATTAAAATATTATATTAGTAAAAATAAAGATCTTGGTATATATAGTACACATTAGTAACATTGTTGGAATCCATAGAGTTTAATAATGACAATAACAAACTAACGTAGGTATATTATATGAGATAAGGTTTGATTTTAAAAATTCTAGACTCAAAGACAAAGATTGTTACATTTATACTTGAATATTCTTATAATATTTATTTTTGCCCTTATTATACTATACTTGATGTAAAATAATTCTTTCGCCAACAAAAGTGGCAACATCAAAATAATTTATTTCAATTATTCTGAGCGAAATATTATTTAACTATGCTCTTCTTATTATATTTAAGACGATGCGATTATATATAGATATCTTCTTTTAAATATTTATGAAATTTGTTACACTCGTCGAAAAAATTGTTTATTAAAGTTATAATAAATAATAGTAATAAATCTAGAGTATAGTTACCTCAGGAATACAATTGAATACACTGAAAGACCGAAAATGTACACATTCATTAAACTTGTTGTTTACATTAAAACAGGCTTAATGGACTCCCGTGCAGTTAAAAAAGCAGAACAAAAAGTCAATATTTCCTCAACAAAGGGACCTCAAACCTAAAACTGTTCATATTATGTATATACAACAAGAGTAATGCAATCAGGGTTTTTGGATAATATTCGTTATAATATCCACCACACAATAATATACAGCAAGAAGGTGCACAAGGTATAAATAAACAAATAAATGAAATATTCAAGAAGTAGATTTATTGACCTGATAAATTTTCTAGTCAGATCACATCAATATGAAGCAAAATAATAACTCAACTATGATATTTCCTTTTCCTCGTCTAGGTCTGGTGTAGTTAATTATGCAGATGATCCTTTATTAAGTATTTATTTATTTATTTCTTCAATTTGTGTAAGGTTTACGTGAATTTACAATAAAAACGTAGAGGAAACTCAAATATCCATTGATTTATTGTTCTTTCGTTAGATGCTAAGCAAACTTTTGAATTATGGGTTTGAATTCCAGTCAGGGACTTTCCTTCCTTTTATTATTTACTTGTGAAAAACTGGAGGTTTATTCTACTATTCTGCATTTTTTTTAAACAATATCAAACTATTTTATTCAAAATCTCTGAGTTTAATAGAATTATAAATAAAAATAGATACTTAATTACATTAATATATTTATTAATAAACATAAGACATATAATATACATTAAATAAAAAAGTAGCAGTCATTAAGTACAATATTTTCCCAATCCTAAAGACTATCGTGAATCTGGGAAAATATACTTCTGTTGGTGAATTATGTACTGTGAAAATTGCCTATTGTTCACCGTTAGAGCAGAGACGCGGACACGTGAGCGAAGCTCGTGACATATAGTACACTGTTTCTAGTAAGTTTGGAATTAAATCGACAAGAAAAATTAGTAATTTAAAAAAAACTGCAAACGATAAATTATGACCTCCTGAATACTGTTTAGTATTTCTCTATAAATAGTTTTAAAAAATCTAAAAAAAATGTATAACTTCATAAAAAAAATTTCCGTCATTAAACATAAATTTTAAATTATGGAATAAATTTCATAAAACTACCTCAATAACAGCTGTCTCAGTATCTTGTATTCTCTAAACAATTTTTTTATAAGGCAGGTACGCTTTAGACAAATCTAAAATATTTTGAATTTTGTTCAAAAAAGATTTTGTCAATTTATTTTTATTTTTTAAGTCAATATCTCGTCAACTATCACATCGAATTAAATATTGTATGATAAATTGTCAATGATTAAATAAAATAAATAACACTATATAAAATATATTACGTTATTAAAACTTATTACGAAAGTTTTTAAAATAATTGAATTGTTCAATTTTATTACAACAATTTTACCTTATTTATCTAAGTAATTTGCGATGGTTGTTATCGAAATATGTAATTCACTGAATATTTTCGTGCTGGAGAAACAATGAAATATTTAAATATATATTTTAGTTTAAAGTAATTCAGCATGTTGCCATAAAGTTGTTAAATCCTTCTGCGAACATTACATTTTCGCAAACATATTTTATCCATTATTTAGCCCACATTATGTCATCCTAATTTACATTTAAGACTGGATATGTCTTTCCTAAGAGACTTATATCAAAACTTTGGACTTACATAATGAAGTAACTTGGTTTAAACGACAGTTGTAGGCATCTGGAAACTAAAAAGTGTTCTTCAGCAAATTTACAACAGCCGTTACAAATTCTGTAAGCTCTGCTTAACCTCACATTTTCAACTTAATTAGTGGAAAGGATTGACCAGCATTTTCGATGTGAATACTAATACTGCAGGGTCAGAGTTGATAATTAGCACTATAAACAAACAATTCAGAGTATAATAGGCCATATTTGCATGCTGCCCAACTCAGGAAATAATTTTAGAACAAGCTGACGAATCTAATAAAATTGAATCACATGAAATATTATTCCAGCGAGTTCAGGCAGCAGCTGCAGGACATCATTAAGCTAATGCGGAAACTTTCAGCTACCATAATAAAACGAAAATGTCGATAAAATAAACAAAATTTTAATTTATCTGAGTAACTCTACCTAAAAAGGGTTTTATTGAAATACTTAATGCGATACGTGGGATATTAATTCCATGTCCCGGTATTACGTTTTTATCCACTGTAAAATAGCGTAACAATATTGTGTCAGATATGAAAGTACAACTGTTGTGATACATCGAAAATATTAAATTTCAATAAACTGGAAAAAATGTAAATCAGTGTTTGACGTTTTATACTGGTATAAATATGTAATAGTAGTTTAATGTAATGCTGAATTTTGAAAATAATTTGATCCATGCTTCTGTTTTAATAAACTTTTCAGCTGTCATAGCTGCAATAGTTTACCGAAAGAATAAACAAAAATGTTTGTTGTAGAGGTTAAGTTTACATTTAGTTTTAAAACTAATAAGTAACTTTATATGGCATGTGTAGGAGGATAAAGGGTTATAAACGTTTCAATACTTTCAAACTACTTCGACGAAGCAGCTAAATTAAAACGACATCGAGCGGCAAGCATTTTTTAGGAAAGTTTGATATTTGGCTTATAATAACATAGTTCTCAGAAGCATTCCAAGTAATTAAGTTAATTAATGTCCGCTTAATTACGTGAAAGAGATCATTTATCTTGAGTTAGTAATACGAGCTCTCCTACCACGCTGATCCTCTACGTCGTAGCTGTCGTATGAGACCATCCATTAATATCAGCAAAATGCGGAATGCATAGATATCATTATTTAACCCCGCAAAACTTGGATAATTAAATTTACATTTTAATCATCTATTTTAATTTTGACCAGGATTATCTTTAGTTCCCCAACAATTCTGTTTACCATTTTCGTTCAAAAATGAAATTACTGAAGGATTTCCGTAAAATTTATTAACTTCACTTAAATTAAGTATTTTAAAATAAAATCGACTTCTTAAAACTTTTTACTGCTCTGCAATAAACTATGTAGCGTTTTATCCCGGCGCATCCACCAAAATTATATTAGTTCGGCAAAACTTTGGAACAAAAGCGGTATTAATATATAATAACAGTCACATACTTGATACCCATTTGCTACCTTTTCAGTACATTAAACCCGATGAAGTTTTTCATGGTTTTAGTGTAACTAGCTTGAATTTGTAGCCTACGCTGACCTTAGTGACAATTTAATTAACTTTCAGCGTAATGTAATGGATGTCATGTGGCATATCTGACTCCATATCTGCGTGATTAAAAATAGGATAATTAAGGTATTTACAGCATAATGAAATATTAACGTTGTTCATTAAATTTCAGATGGGAACTAGCGGGAACACCGGAAGGACTTCGGTATGGGTGACTTTACTTCTAGCGGCGGCGTTGCATCCCATGGTTAACTCTTCACACATTAAGGTAATTTATTTATACTGTTGTTTTAATAACGCATTAAAACATAAAGTTTTATAATGAATTTTACTCCGGACAATTTTGAGTTTATTGCCCGAGTACTAAATTGCCTGGAGGGTTACGTTTCTAAGGCAACCCCCTTATGCAACTAATACCGGTTTTATCCTACACGAAAGTACTATAACTTCGGCATCTAAACTTTATGTTTCTGTTTGAACAAATTTTTCCTATAATGTTTTATTTTGTAATTAATTATTCAAAAACCTATAGAGTGGATAAAAACACTAAGTTCATATGCCTTAGTTCAGATCAATCTAAATCACTATTTAAGTTTATCCTCAGTAATTTTAATTGCAAATTTACCTTTGCAATTCTGAATTAAAATTAAATAAGAATAATTATTTTAAGGTTACATTATTCTTTTTTAAATATACTACTACAATTGTATTCAATTTTCTCCAAACAACTTGAAACAGCTTTATATACTTATAACTTATTTTTTTAAAATCCGAATTGATGATTTAAAACTTTGATGGCGATTGATTTTGTAAATTGTTAAACCGTAGATATTTTGAGTACACTAAATTTTTTTCCAACTTGAAGTATATATTCAAATATTTAAGAGGCGAAAAAAGGTTCTGACAGAGAAGCAATTTGCTAAAAGTCATTTTAAAATATTTGTAACTATCATTTACTGCGACTAAAATATTAAACACCAATGACAACCATAAACCCTGTGTTGCATCAAGTTGTAATAAAACTAACTGTGAATACTGCGGAAGCTGCCGATGCTCTTTAGTAAGTGATAATCCTATTTGTGATAATTCCATCTGTGATAATTCTGTCTGTGATAACAATCTCATATTCAACCTGCCTGTGATTAATGACTGTGATATTTTAAAAGCTGCGAAAAAAATTAAACCAAATTTCGTTTGTGGTCCAGATGATATACCGGCATTTTTAGTGATTGATTGTCTTCAGTATTTGTTAAAACCTTTATGTCATATATACAACTTAATTTTAAAGTCGTCTATTTATCCACAAATGTGGAAAGTGTCTCGTGTATTTCCTGTATTTAAAGCTGGTGACAAAGCTAACATTGTAAATTACAGACCGATAGCACTTATATCGAACTATTCTAAATTATTTGAATGTATTATGTCAGACTTCCTATATACCCACTGTATTTCAAAAATTGCCTTAGAACAGCATGGATTTATAAAAGGAAGATCCACTGTCACCAATTTATGTGAATTCACTGAATACGTATCCTTAGCTTTAGATAATCGCTTTCAAGTTGATGCCATATACACTGATTTATCCAAAGCTTTTGATAGGGTAGATCATTGCATATTGTTAAAAAAACTTGATACATTAGGAATATGTCATCAGCTATTAATGATTTTTAGAAATCTCCTGTTTGGTAGGGAACAATTTGTTGAAATTCACGGAGTCAAGTCAACATTCTTTCCTGTGAACAGCGGAGTTACTCAAGGCTCAAACCTAGGCCCGCTGTTGTTTACTGTTTTTTTCAATGATGTCTTAAATGTTATTAGTTGTAGAGTATTTATATATGCCGATGATTTAAAAATAGCTAAAGTAATAAAAACGAACAGAGATTGTTTAGTTTTACAAGATAATGTAGATAAATTAGCGCTGTGGTGTGAACAGAATAAGTTAAGCCTTAATAAAAAAAAATGTAGAAAAATTACATTCTCCAGGAAAGACACTAATTTTAATTTTTATTACAATATTAATGGAACTTTGCTAGAAAACTGTAATCAAATACGCGATTTAGGCATAATTGTAGACTCTGCATTGTCATTTGTTCCTCATATCATTGATATAACAAATTCAGCTATCAAAACACTTGGTTTCATCTGTAGAAATACTAAAGAATTTAATAATATTTTATGTATTAAACAGCTTTATTATAGTCTAGTTAGATCAAAATTAGAATACTGTTCTATAATTTGGAGACCTCATCACCAAATTTACATTAATATTATAGAAAACGTTAACAGGAAATTTGCTAAGTATCTGTATTTTAAAATGTTCGACTGTTATCCTGTTAGTCATTGTAACCAGAGAGCTCTTCTTAATATAGTGAATGAAAATTTTCTCGAGTATAGACGAAATATTGCTTGTTTTGTATTTTTGCAGAAATTGGTGCGTGGTGATATATTCTGTCCAGCGTTACTAAATAATATTAAGTTTTGTGTTCCTCGTTTATTGTGCAGAAATCCATCCACTTTTTACTATCAAATTCCTAATTCTTATCATCACTTTAATAGCCCCTTAATTACATGTTTTAGACTTTATAATAACTGTACTTTAGACGATAGCATTGATATTTTTCACGCTAATTTTAATAAAGCATCTTTCAAAAAAAAGTTATTAGCACGATATGCACAATAATATATGTACATAATATTTGTTCTGATGTTAGATTTTTTTTTTTTTTTTAGATTTTTTTAAATTGTAAGTTTAGTTTAAGTTGAATTTAATGTCTTTTTGTGTATACATGTCCACCATAGACTAACGTCTGTTGGAATGAATAAACCTATTATTATTATTATTATTATTATTATTAAAGCTTGCAAAAAAAATTTTAAAATTAAATTCTACTATAGCGACGAATATTGCTGCTGTAGATGTAGATATCGAGCAAAAAATAATTCCGTAAAGAACGCAAATTCGTAGTTAATTTAAAGTATTTTTCTAACATTTTAAAAACTTAATATTTTTTTGTTTCCAATTTTATTTAACACTTAACAGAATTCGTATTTGCCACTTCAACGAAACTTTTGTGGAAGTATAGTTTCACACGGTTTTTTTCGGAAGGAAACTAACACAAAATTTGAGGAAAAAATCCAACGCGGCTAAAAGATAATAAATTGTAAATTACAAATTACAGAGATCTAATTTATATTCAAATTTTTGCATTTTATGTTTAATCAAAAGAGTTTCAGCCCTGTTATTATTATAACCTCAGAATAAATTCATCAGCAAAGTCGTAGGGCAATAAAGCCTTCAATGTTATGTATGCGGTGTGCATAAATTAAATTAGAATTTTTTAATACAAAATACATGAATTTAAATTAAAAGGTAAAAGAAATTACCACAGAAAAAATTATATAATTTTTATGGTTTTGTAAAGCATTTTACAAATATTTTATCCTCTTTAACAAGATCGGTCTAAACAGCTATTTAACATAGATGAAAAACAGTTCATTTAAACCCTAAATAAAAAATATTGTTGCGTTAACAACTAGACAATCTTAAAATAATGAGGTTTAATGTTTATAAATATGAATTTTGTTGGAACCAGAAAGCGTCAGCCATCACAAAAGTTACGAATACGTTACTAATTTTACACAGTGATAGTTCTTATTACAATTTATGCAGTTTAATATTCTTCAATTTGCTGGTGACAATTAGTTGTCAGTGTTACATTTATAAGTGAATCGCTTCCACTTGAATTTATATTCACATTTCACAGATCGATAAGAAATAACGCCTGCTCAAGCTTCTAGCAGCATCTCGAACGAGGCGATGACCACTAGCGGTATTAATAGATCTCTAAATCCAGCACCACATTTTTACATTTTTGTTACGCTAAAATGTGTTTAGCAATTTTGAGAGAAAAAGAATCAAAATATTTATGAATCGTGTTACTAAGTGAATAAACTTTAGCCAAATTATTCAGGAAGTTCTTAAACCTCAAGTACAAGTTGATGTTTATACTTTAAAAAATAACATCTTTGAAGTACTTAGCCATTATTTTCCCTCTGATTTTTAAGTAAATTTACCCCATTAATTTTAGAACTTAGGACAAAGGTATATAGACACACTATAGTATCGCTTTACCGCAATGATCGCAATAATAGGCGCACAAATATAGGTCGACGTATCAAATTTTATCATTTTCCACGAACAAAAATGATGAAAAATTATGTAGCAGGTTGTTCAGTGAGCTTAATGTTATCCATACGCTTGTCATTCGACTCCGTTTAAATCGAGGAAACTACATACAGAAAGAAGACCGTTTTTGTGATATGCAAACTACACAAATAACATAAATCTCCTTATGTGCAGCTTCCAATGTAAACTGCATTAAATTTATTGTCAAAGTAGTAGACTTTGCTGCTGATGTTGCTAACACCGGATTTGATTTATAAGGTGTATAAATATATTAATTTTGTCGATTAGACGTTAGGTACTTATATGCTCAGGGTAATCTTTGTATTCTACATATATTACCACATTTATGAACAAGTTTTGGGGTAATGAGAATGAGACTTTAAAATAATGACTCAGTTGATACAAATATTTTTAATGAATCGATCTTAAACAGAACATAAATAAGTAAATTCTACACTTACGCCCAAAAGGTTTACATTTGCCTGTAATATTCAAAGATGCCAAAACAAAACAAAATGTCCTCTTGAAATGCAGATTCATCTCTGAATTTGAAAGGTTATGCGAGATTCGTACGTTTCAGTGATTTTTAGATTTGAGTATACCATTTTATATACTGATAAAAATCCATTAACTATTTACTATTGTCCAAAAATTGGAAAGAAAAATAATCGATTTTCAGCTAAATTAATAACCTTTTAGAAAACCAACTCAGCGAGATAATATTTTTATCTTTCTCTATTTCAAAAATCACCTTTAAATGAGCTATGTGTTAAAATTTAGTACTTGTTTATTATTCACGATTTATTTAAAATTCAATTAATTTTGGTAAAATTTTTATTATGAACCTATCAATACAAATAGAGCTTCGCTTTAATTTTTTTCAGGGACAGCTAACAAAATTATTAATAATAACAGATATGACGTTCTCCTAAAATTGATGATATCATGCATTTCTATTTTTACCAACAATTATGCATACAGTTTAAAAAAGAATTTAACTACTATATCATCAATACTATCTAACAGTCTTTTTTTTTTCTTCTACTAAACAGACTCTTTCAGAAAACTGTTTCAACGATCTG